ATATATATATAATTTTATTTTATTATTTTATTTTATTTTATTATCAGAACAGTGAAGAAAAGGTTACCCTGAAAATGCACACAGTGCAGTAGGTGGCGGTATGCGCCTATGCAAGTTGGTTGCGATCCGCCAATGGAATTTAAAGAAGAAGAAGAAGAAGCTCCTCCATGTACAGCTTCTTATCACTGTCTATGTACCAACGTACATTTATAACAAATACCACACATATTACGGTAATCAGCGTTGCATATGTGTCTGACCCAAATACCTTTTGTTGTTCAGTCTTTGTTCATCCTGCATCGCTCTTTTCTGGAGCCTCTCCCAGCTGTTAGCAGACTGTTAGCGAGCTGTACCCAGCATGCAGTTCGGCAGTGAAATTTTATGAATGTACAATTATTAGTGCTACAAATTGTTTATTTGTCACAAACTGTTGTGTCGTGGTGTTTTGCCCTGTTAAGTTGTTGCTCAAGAAGTCCAAGATGAGCTTCTTCTTCAGCTCAGCCCATAAGGGAGTGAGGTTCAGAGAAAGCTCTGAAAAGATGGTTGTTGATTCCAGGTGCAGTCCTATGAAAAAAACGCATCCAGATAGACAGAAACCATGTTTAAATTCAATGAAGAGCCCATCAGACACAGTTGAAAGTGAAAATACAACTGCCTTTTTCAGCCCATATAGAGAACAACTGCACAGACTAAGTGGTAAGCAATGGAAATGAAATAAATCCGAGAGTAAATTAGAAATGTTTGCTTCTGCAAACACGATTAATTACTTTTGCAAACTAGAGTGGTGGCAATATGCAAAAAAAAACAAAAAAAATAAAAGTTGCTCCACATTTCCTAGTCTTTGGTGTGTCTGCAAACACGTCCTGCATTAACATTAAGACCGGACCAACGAGTTGCCAATTAAAGTTGGATGTAAATGTAACACATTCTCATGAGAGTTGACAGGTCAGCTAAATACATATAAATACTTTATTCCCATCAGGCCTACAGGGTTTATTTTTTGTAATACTCTTCTGCTTGAGTACAAACACATTTGATACTGTATCTTTGAGTACACTGCACTAAGATGTCAAATATAGCAATTTTGTGTTGGTAGTCACTTTCAAAGAAACCTCCCCTGAGCAGCAAGTGTGAAGTACTTAAAGCTTAAGTGTGCTTAATGCTTAAACTTTAATCCAGCAATAACACCGAGGTTGAGCTTAAGGAGAAGCCATTGTCAAAAGGAAATCAATGTACAATTTGATCTCTCTATATAAGTTTAGTGGTATGGAGGCACTAAGTGTTCAATTTCAATTAGATAAATACAACATTATGAAATTAATAAAAGAAATGATTCAATTGTGTAAAATATTTAAAAAGTATATGCAA